CTTTCACAGGGGGAGTGCCACTCAGCCAGAAGAGGGCTCATGGCTGGCCAGCGCAGCGGCGGTGGCAGGAGCCTCTACCGCCTCAGTGGCAGTGCTAAGGATGTCCGATTAATGGCTTAGGCCTGCTCCCTGTAGAGAGCGGGCCTAAGCCGTCAGTCAGACATCCTCCAAAGGGTCCCAGACTGCGAGAGGGCACAGGCCAGGCTGAGGGGACCGCCCCCGAGTGCACGAATTTTCATGCACCGTGTCTTGTCTTCTACAGATTTTCTTGGATGTCCTGGATTGGTGATGTGTTCTTGAATGGGTAGTATCACACTGGTCTCAACCCTATTCATCAGGTTTTGTGGAAGCATCCTGGCTCTAGACACACAAGACACATGAATGTATTTCTCAATCCCTAGCCACAGCAGATGGCATCTTTCTGGCCTCAGTTTCACTCAAACAGGGCAGTATACTTTGTGAGGTTTCATTCCCAATCCCCTACTGTAGTTCCAATGAAGGCTTCTCTTTCCTTTTTTTAAAATGGCTATACTGATAATTGTATTTTAACATCATTTCCTGTCCATTTTATATGCTTGGAGCAGAAAGTTTCAGCCAGTGCTCAGTTATCAGTTTCGATAGTGAATCATCAATGTCTTTAATTTTTAGTTTTGGTTGTTTTCATAAATAGACTCTATCTCACTCTTGCATATTATATTTTCCTTTCAATGTGCACAAATCTGTGCACTGGGCCTCTAGTCTATCTGGGAATGGAACTGGTGACCTCTTGGATAATAGGTCCACGCTCAACCACTGAGGCACACCGGCCCGGCAGTGTCTGTCACATCTAACAAATATTGATCCACTGCCAACCTGGGACCTTTCTTTTTACCTTTTGGTTTGTGGACAAACCCTGTGTAGAGGAGTAGTATTCTCTAATCCACCCCTTCTCTCTTCCAATTTTTTTTTAAAATCTGTTTTCTTCATTTTTTTCATGTTCTTCCAATATCTATAATCTTCATTTTACACAAAGTTCTCCCAGTAAAAATCCTGATGTAACCAATACAAACTATCAGTTCTCATTTCTACATCACTAGTTCCCCCACAGATAAAATGTGAGTATTCTATTCAAATGGGATCCTATGGCCATATAGTTAAGGAACCTAAACACAGCTAAAATAAGAGAATTCACTGGAAGTGAGGCCTCATTCTCTCCAACCTGTTCACAAAACACACTGGCTTCCAAGCAAAGATATTCTGCTGTCAGATACATGAAGTTTCTGTGTACATAAATCCACTTACAAAATAAAACTAACCAGCTGTGACTCATCAAGAAGGATGGGAAAATAGGATGAATAAGGTGTTAAGAACAAAATTCCATTTTTCAGAAAAACAGAAAGGCAGATATTTGGTAAATCAAACATTAGATGAAAAGGCTCTAATAATATAGGTAATTCTTTGAAAAGGAAAGCAGCAGCTGGTGCCAGAAAAGCCAGAAGTCTTATCGCAAGCCCCATAAAGAGATGTCCTGGGATGTGGCGACCACAGGAGCCAGAGATGTGGCCTGCAGGCTGACACTGCTTAGTGAAAACCCCATGGGGGTATGTTTTCAGAGATAGGGCTGATGTGAGTATCAAAAATTCAAAAAGCAATGTTTAGCCCTCACCGATTTGGCTCAGTGGCTAGAGCGTCGGCCTGCGGACTGAAGGGTCCCAGGTTCGATTCTGGTCAAGGGCATGTACCTTGGTTGCGGGCACATCCCCAGTGGGGGGTGTGCAGGAGGTAGCTGATCGACGTTTCTCTCTCATCGATGTTTCTAACTCTCTACCCCTCTCCCTTCCTCTCTGTAAAAAATCAATAAAATATATTTTTTTAAAAAGCAATGTTTAACATCCATCAAACATTCATATTGGTGGTAGCGAATAATATGGAGACAAAGACGTTTCCAAGTGGGATGCCATCTTCAAATACACAAAAATAATACAGAATCAGGACATTTATCACCAACAAATAAAGAGAACAAAATATGATTATAGCAACAGATGCCAAAAATCATTTGAGCAAATATTACTAATAAAATTTTTAAGGGAAAAATAACAGAAATAAAAGAAAGCTAAAAAAAAAAAAAATACAGTATCTTTCAACGATCACCTTTACCTGGTTATCTTAAATATTCCCGTTATACCCCTAGGAGGTAACCTCATTTTACAGAAAAAAGGAGGCAGGCTCCAGGGTGGCCGGTCCGAGCTCACCAGCAGGGGTAGGAAGCGGTAGGACCGTTCTAAGGGTAGAGGGGGGGGTAACGCCAGCACCCGTTTTTCGTCCTCTTCTACGGGGTGGCCTGAACCCGGGCGGAACGGGAAAAAGGTTGGTTGCGTGG